GGCCTTTTCCACCTCGTCATGCGGCAGGACGCAGATCCTTCCTCATGCCCGCAATCTTGATGCCAGTGCCGAGGGCGAGCTTGCGGCCCTCATTGACAATCTGGAAGACAAGCTCCCTCGTCGGCGCGACAACGACGGCCTGCAGCTCGTGCTCGGGCTCGCCATTTTCTCCCAGCGCCGCTCGCTTCCGCAGGATGCCATCAAGGGCCGGGATCAAGAAGCTGATGGTCTTGCCGCTCCCCGTCGGCGCCACGGCCAGGAAATTGACCCCCTTGGCGCTGTCCCCGATCTCCTTCCTCTCGGGGACCTTGCCAAAGGCCAGCTTCGGGCGCAGCAGGATGGGCAGGCTGGCCAGCTGGACCTCGGTCGGGACCTTGTAGGCCTCCTGCTGCAGGTTCTGGGCCAGCCTCGGGGCGATGGCGTAGACGGTCTCGAGGGCGCGGAACGAGGTCAGGGGCTGGGTGTGCAGCTGCAGCGGCTCATCCTTGACCTCGACGGCGACCGTCTTCTTCTTCTTCTTGCTCTTGGTCACTTTGGGCTCCTTGCTGCGACGGCTCGACAGCAGGGTCAGCTTGAGGCGGTGGGAGCGCAGGATCTGGCGGCACTCGTCGTCGCTGAGCAGCTTGGCGGCCTTGAGGGGCGAGGCTTGCACCGCTGCAGGCTTGACGGGTTCGGGTGTGGCGGCGACATGGCTGTCGTCTGCGGCGGGGTCTGGCTTGGAGGCGAAGAAGTCGACGTCGGGCAGGTCGGTGTCGGTGTCGTGGTCGGCCTCGGGCTCTGGGTCGACGTCGTGCTTGGAGCGCTTCCTCTTGCTGCCCCGCGCTGGCGCCGCAGGTACGGGATCGTGGAAGAGCTGGGGGTTCGTGCGGTTGCCGGCGGAGGGGAGGTTGGCGGTGGAGGTGCCTGGGGGGTTGGTGCCCTTGGGGGCCTGCTTGATGCCGCGCGAGAGCACTTTGAGGATGTCCATGGTCGATTGGGTTGGTGGACAGTAAGGTGGTCTCAACTTGTCAAGATGTAGACGGGGAGATTTTTTTCTTCTTCTTCGACAAGGGCAGCCCAGTCCAAGACGCCGGCCTTGCACTGTGGGGCGACAGCTGGCTGTGGGGAGATCGGTACGTACCTAGGTCCCTAGGCCTATGCATGGCTAAGGTACCTATGGTAAGGTAGACTGAAGATGACCACCTACTTGGGTACCTACTTGGGTACCTACTCTAGCAGGAGGCTGTGGTAGTTCTGGCAATACGTTCTTTTCCTCAACCGTTTGCCAGATACCTCGTATCTCACCACGAATGTGCCTGAATGTACGCGATGAGGCTCTCTGCCGTTACCAAAACCATTCACCATTGGCTTCAAAAGCTCCTCGAAGCCGCTGCACATGCATTAAGCCTACGGAGACCAGTAGGCAGATTGAATCAATTTGATCATCTTGATGTTGCCCATTGCTTCTTCCGGTTGACTATTCTTCTCGTGTGGCTCCAAGTGATCGGTTCCTTCTCCTTGGCACCTTTGGGAGATCCCCTGGCAGAGAAGGGCAACTCGAGACAGCTAAAAGCCCTTGAAAGCAATAATTATGTAGAAACATGTTCGAAGAATTCATCGCTTCTCGGGACGACCGTTCGTCTGTAAGCGACACCTTGATCAGGTGCTGCGAGAACAGGTGGGTGCCTTTTAAGGTACGTGATGTTGTCAGGGCAACAGCACCGCACGCTCGACCCCACACCCAATATCCAACATGGACGTGGGATGCAGGCATTCTTGACAACCCCCAGCCGCCACCAAACATTCCATCCTCAAACTCCAACAGAGCGCGCCGCAGCATCTCGTACCCGTCCCAGAGACTCTGCAGCCGTCTTCATTCACTATTGTCACTATCGTCCACCCAGAACACCAGAACACCACCATGGCTTCCAAACGGGAGCCGCCCTCGCGCATCGCGTCGGCATCGTCCCTCCGCTCCGCCACCGGGACCAGCCTCACGAGGACCCGACAGCCGGCACGAACATCAATGCGACCCCCGCTGTCGTCCTCCCGCTTCAACCGCGACGGCGCCGTCTCGCCAGCCGGGTCCGTGGCCTCCGTGGCCACGACGACCACCAAACGCAAGGAGCGCGACTACGACACCGACACGGGCGGCGGCGACCACGGCGAGGAGACCAACATCCAGGTCGTCGTGCGCTGTCGCGGCCGCAACGAGCGCGAGGTCAGGGAGAACAGCACCGTCGTCGTGTCGGCCGACGCCGCCAAGGGCAAGGACGTCAACCTGTCCATGGGACCCAACGCCCTGAGCAACAAGACGTACAACTTTGACCGCGCCTTTTCGCCGGCTGCCGACCAGAGCATGGTCTTTGACGATGTTGTCAGGCCCATTCTCGACGAGGTGCGTCTTGTTTTTCTCTTGTCTCTTCTTGCACACTAGCTCCCTGACACGCGCACCCCCCTCTTCTCTTCTTGCACACTAGCTCCCCCTCCCTGACACGCGCAGATGCTCGCCGGCTTCAACTGCACAATCTTCGCCTACGGCCAGACCGGCACCGGCAAGACCTACACCATGTCCGGCGACATGACCGAAACCATGGGCCTCCTCTCTGATGCCGCCGGTATCATCCCGAGAGCGCTGCAGGCTCTCTTCAACAAGCTCGACGCCGACGACTGCGAGAGCGCCGTCAAGTGCTCCTTCATCGAGCTGTACAACGAGGAGCTGCGCGATCTCATCGCCGTGGAAGAGGGCGCCAAGCTGAAAATCTTTGACGACACGTCACGCAAGGGCCACGCCACCACCATTGTCCAGGGCATGGAGGAGAAGCACATCAAGACGGCCGGCGAGGGCATCAAGGTCCTCCAGGACGGGAGCTTGAAGCGCCAGGTCGCCGCCACAAAGTGCAACGACCTCAGCAGCCGCAGCCACACCGTCTTCACCGTCACGGCCTACGTCAAGCGCAACAACGACGATGGCGCCGGCGACGACTACGTCAGCGCCGGCAAGCTGAACCTCGTCGACCTCGCCGGCAGCGAGAACATCCAGCGGTCCGGCGCCGAGAACAAGCGCGCCGCCGAGGCCGGCCTCATCAACAAGAGCCTCCTCACGCTGGGCCGCGTCATCAACGCCCTCGTCGACCGCAGCCAGCACATTCCCTACCGCGAGTCCAAGCTGACGCGCCTGCTGCAGGACTCGCTCGGCGGCCGCACCAAGACGTGCATCATCGCCACCGTCTCGCCCGCCAAGAGCAACCTCGAGGAGACCATCTCCACCCTCGACTACGCCTTCCGCGCCAAGAACATCCGCAACAAGCCCCAGGTCAACCCGCTGCTCAACAAGAAGAAGCTGCTGCGCGAGTTCCAGACGGAGATTGAGAAGCTCAAGAGCGAGCTCATCACGACGCGCCAGCGCAACGGCGTCTACCTCTCCAACGAGTCGTACGAGGAGATGACGGCCCAGAGCGAGTCGCGACGCATCGTGCTCGAGGAGCAGGCCGCCAAGATGGAGACGCTCGAGATGAACCTCAAGAACAAGGTCCACGAGCTGCTGTCGCTGACCTCCAACTTTATGGGGCTCAAGAAGGACCACGAGGGCACCAAGGCCCAGCTCGACGACACGAGGGACGTGCTCGACCAGACGGAGCTCGTCCTCGACGCCACGCGCCGGTCGCTCGCCGACGAGACGCACCTGCGCAAGGCCCACCAGGAGACGGAGGGCAGGCTCGCCGAGGTCGGCGGCCGTCTCATCTCGACCCTCCAAAAGACGGTCGGCGACGTCGACCGCCTGCGCGCCAAGAACAAGCGCAAGTCGGACCTGCAGTCGATCAACCGCGGCGCCTGGGGCATGGCGCAGGGCCACGTCGTCGACATCACCTCGCTCGTGGAGCAGCGCGTGGCGCTCTTGCGCGACGAGCAGCAGGCGCGCGTCTCGGGCATCGCCGACATGATGAAGGCCTTTGTGGCCGAGGAGCTGGACAAGCTGACCTCGACCGAGAGCTTCCTCGAGGGCCACCTGCAGGAGTTTGCCGAGTCGAGGGAGGAGCTGCTCGGCGAGCAGAAAGGATCCAAGGAAGAGATGGACAACGTGCTCGAGGAGATCAAGACGGTGCGCGATACCGTCAAGGACCAAGTCGGCGAGAGTCTACAGTCCATCGCCGCGGCGGCCGACAAGATTGCGGCCGACGTGCTCAGCGAGCTCGGCACCTTCCACAACCAGGCATGTTCTCCCCCCTCCATCCGACAGTCCATCTCTTCAAGGTGGCTGCTAACGTTCGAACCCAGCTGCACACATCGTACAGGTCTCTGGGCAAAGACCTGAAGACCATCTTCGACGACCTTGTCACGCACATCTCTGCCCAGCGCGCCGAGTCCCTGAGGCTGCGACAGCAACTCGAAGAGGCGACGAGGACCATCGCCGAGCAAAACGCCGCCAACGCCAGCCGCATGCAGGAGGTCATGGAAGGGGAACGCATACAGGCGGCCGTGGACCGACAGGACCTGCTCGCGCAGATGACATCCCTGATCAACGCGCAAGCCGAGGTGCAAGAGTCGCGACTCGCCGACAAGACGGCCGAGCTGCAGAGAAGCATCCTCGCGTCCAACACTACGCTCGAGAAGGATGTTGCCGCCTACGGAGAGGGTATGGACGCGTGGAACAGCAAGGAGGACGAGCTCCTGGAGACAGTCACCAACTCGAAGGAAGCCATGAAGACGAAGCTGAAGGAGGACTGGAACGTGCGTACCAGAGACGCAGCTCGCAGGAGCAGAAACAGCGCTAACATGGTGTCTAGGCCGCTGAAGAACACAGTTCATCCATCCAGGGCACCACCGAGTCGGTCAACGCCGAGACGATGCGCGTGGTTGACGAGCAGCTGGAGAACCTTGACGTGCAGATGAAAGCCTTGGACGACTTTGTCACCCACGCCCGCGACGAGAACGCCTCTCACCACGAGAAGCACGCAGAGTCTGTGCAGAAGCTTTCCGAGACTGTCGGACAGTCGTTCGAAGAGATCGCATCGCACTGCGCGACTACGTTTGACCGTGTCCAGGACTTGGGAAGCAAGCTGGAATCGCAGACCGAGGAGGCTAGACAAGGTCTCGCGCCCATCGGAGAAGACATCTGCCAGCCCCTGGCTGCGCTGCGGGACGAGATATCGACCACGGTCATCCAGGAGTACCAACCTACCGGCGACACCCCTATGAAGATGCACTACCACTTCCCGACCGATCTGCCCAAGACCAAGGCGCACGAGAAGCTTCTCAACGACCTGCACGGCGTCTCCGCCTCGCCCATCAAGTCCAGCACCATCCCCACCGTCTTCGCCGACGACGATGACGAGCCCGACCTCTCGGCTTCGTCGCCACGCCAGACGCGGGCCTCGACGATGCCGTCCATCGCGGAGACGGCCCCGACGAACCACACCTTCCCCTTCAGCATGAGCCTCCGCGAGGTGAACCCTAACCTGACGCAAACCAACCTGACGACGGCGGGCTCGATGCTGTTCGACCCGGCGGCCGGGGCCGCCGCCATGAAGGAGGCCGCCGCCGCCGCCGCTGACGGTGGCGACGCCGCGACCGGGCTGCTGCCCTTCAAGTACAGCACGTCGCGGCAGCAGAGCAAGATTGGCCGCAAGACGGTCGCGGGGCCGCTCGAGGGGCGGGAGAACGTGCCGCTGCCCGTCGCGGCGTTCTCGCAGAGCCTCGGGCCGCGGCGGAAGAGCCCGAGACTGAACTGAGCGTCTTTCGCCCTGCTTTTTTGTTGAGACAGCGAGGCGTTTTGGGGGTCTGGATATGCGTCACCTGCGGACCAAATATAGCCGGGTGCGCTTCGTGCTGGATATGGTCCCGGTCTGATTCACGGTCGAGGCACGATGGCACGTGAGGGTCTGTACTCTGTCGCTGGGTCGTGTCGTGGTGTAGGTTTTTACTGTACGCTTGATACCCTTCTTGTTCAATCGTTGGCTTTGTGGTATAATTCACTTTTATTTGATCGATTCTGCTGAACCTTGACCATGTGCTGCTACTTGGCCGGTGATTGTCACATGCATGATCAGATGAAGGTCACGTCATTGTGATGACGGCTGAGCTTCTGGAGATATCTGAAGCGGAAATTGGGGAGAATCGCATCAAGGATGGAGGAACGGGTTGAAGATGAGGGATGATCGACGCCCAGACTTACGACCCTCTGTGAGCAGCGTGTCAACGGCGCCCTTGGACGTCATCTCACACGACAGGCAACACACAGCAACACGCGCAGCCTCCATGGGTAGCCTTCAATGTTTATAAGAGAAGCTCTCTGCCCATGGCGCGAACTTTATCACCTGAATGACATTCTCTACAAATACATCTCGAGATCAGCATTTGATACCCCCCTCGCATGCAACCGCCAAAATGCCATCGCACCCCGACCTCACCTCATTCAAAGCCCTGTCCTTCGACAACTACGGCACGCTCGTGGATTACGAGTCCAGCCTCCGTCACCACCTGGCGCCCCTCCACGCTGCTCTGCCCCCCTCCCACGACCTCAAAGACACGGCCGCCCTGATGCGGCGCTTCAACGCCGCCTCCAACACCCTCGAGCACGACGAGCCCGCGCTGCCCGCCAACGAGCTCCTGGCCCGCACCTTCCGCGAGCTCGCCGCCGACCTCGACGTCGCCGACCAACTGACAGAGGCCGACTTTGCGGCGTGGCGCGCCATGGCCGGCGCCAGCGTGCCGTTCGGCGACACGGTGGCCGGCCTGCAGAAGCTCGCGCGCCGGTACAAGCTCTTCCTCCTGAGCAACGTCGACGAGCGCAACATTGCCGCGTCGGTCGGCGCCATGCGGCCGGTCGCGTTTGACGGCGTGTACACGGCCGAGCGGATCGGGAGCTACAAGCCTGCGCACGCCAACTTTCGGTACCTGTTTGAGCGGGCGGAGCGGGAGCACGGCGTCGGGTTTGCGAGGGGGGAGCTGCTGCATGTTGCGAGGAGTCTCAGGGCCGACCACGTGCCGGCGAAGGCGCTCGGGTTGCGCAGCGTCTGGATCGCGCGGGGCGGGGATACGAAGGAAGGGCAGGGCATCGGAGGGGATCCGGAAGGGTTGAAGGATGATGTGGCTTTTGAGTGGAAGTTTCAGACCATTGGCGAATTCGCGGATGAGGTTGAGAGGCAGTTTGCTGCCAAGGGAGAATGATCTTCCAGGCTCGTACGATTAGCTGAAAGCAACTTCATACCATGTCCTGTGTCGATGGTCGTGATGGAGGTCTCTGCCGTGAAACTCGCTGAGACTAGCCGTCAGCATGGTCTTTCGTCCCCCTATTCCGTTGACCCTTCTCTCGCCCGCCCTTTGACAGCCATCCCTGTCGAATCTTGATCGGCCTTAGGAACCCATCGACATGCACGGCACCGTCCATCTCCTCGTCGCTGCCCGGGTTCCCTGCCAAGGGCATTTGCATCGCGGGCGCCAGTTCCTTGGCTTTGCCCTTGCCCTGGGGAGCCACGGCCTCTGGTTCGTCTCCAGCAGCGAGCTCGGCGCCATGCATATGCCGCATGTGTGCCGTGAGGTTCTTTCTCGCCTTGAAGCTCCGTACATGGTACTTGCACGTCGTGATAGGACAGTAAAATGCGCCCTTTTGCGCCGTCGGCTGGTCGTGGATCAGCTTGAAGTGCTCTCGCAGTCCGCGCTTCGCACCGAACCCCTTCGTGTGCCGTTTGCAGTGCGTGATGGGGCAGTAGAAGAGGCCGTCGGGCGATGCCTGCACAGCGTTGAGGTCGATCTCGAGCTTGGGTCGCGCTGGTAACTCGACACCGCTGGAGTCATTGTCTTCGTCCGTCTGGCCGTTGCGTGATCTGCTCCTCGGCCCATCACCATCGCCATCCTCGTCAGAGTCTTGTGTGTCTGCACCTGCCGGGGCTCTCCCGGCACGCCTCTCCCTCGCTCTGCGGAGCTGTATAGCCTCGTATCTGAGCCTCCGCCTCGTCTCCTCGAGGTGTCTCTCCTCGTCTTCTTCCCCACTGTCTTTGGCTGCCGGCACCGGCTTACCCGGGTAACATGTCGTCGTTACATATCCCTCCTGTCCCTCAACAACCGTATGGAGCTCCATGCTCTGCCCAAAGAGATCCGCGCACCGTTGCGCCGCGCGTGCCACGACATCAGCATCGAACCCAGCCAGTGCGGCAGCTCCGAGCACGTCCCGCCAGTCGCGCAGACCCCACCTGTTGAGTCGACTGTCACGCCACATTCGATACGCACGAGACGTATCCGAGTCGCTATCACGAGACGAGGCCGAGACGGCACGCTTCGATGCCCGTCTCCTGCGCGGGGCAATGGGTCTGCCGCGGGGCGTCTTCTCCGAGGCTGATTCGTCATCTGCATCATCTTCCTCGTATGAAGAGGACGTCGATGAGGCTGGTGCCGGGCGTTTCTTGGTGTATCTGGCATTGGCTGCTCGCTTGGGAGGTGCCGCGACTTCTGTTTCGGCGTCCGAGATGACCGAGGACCTGTCGCTAGCAGAATCGTCCGTCTGGTCTCGGGCCACGACGCCGGCCATGCGCGCATTGTGCAGGGTCGTCAGGGTCGCGTCGAGCTGTGTGAGGATATGTCTTGCAGAGGGGCGGAGGAGTTCGTAGGAGAGGTCGTCATCTGCCGACATGACGGGCGCGTACAGCTTTTTGGCCTTGGTGGTCCGCGCCGGGACTTCATCCTCTGGCGGTTGCTGCTGCTGCTCCGCCTCGTCTTGCACGCCGTGCTCGTCTCCGTCCTGTGACTCGTCGCTGTCCTCGCTCTCGGCCTCTTCCCCTTCGGATGTGCCCTTCGTCAGAGGCTCGCCGTCCGCGTCATCAGAATGCGCATCCTCAGACTCGTCAGCAGAGTCCTCGTCAGAGTCCCGCCCAGCCTCCGACGGCTCGTCGCCTTGCCCCAACTTCCGCTCGCGGAACCTCTCCTTGGCAATCCGCAGCATCGACGCAGACACCTCCTCCTCCAAGTCCTTCCCCGGCCTCCACTCATCCTTGCGCCTCAGCGTGAACGCATCGTGCGCGTCACGCGTCTCCCGCAGCAGCTTCTCCCTCGGCAGAGCCTCAACAGGCAACGGCCACGCCGTCCACGCCTGCGGCGGACGCCAGTCGCCGAGGCCCATGCCCTCAGGCAGCGCGTCCTGGGAGCCCTATGCATGTCAGCGGGCTCTTCTTCCTCTGGCGTGCAGCCCTTCTCCGAACGAGACGAGTGCGAGGAGAGGGCGCGTTGCCTACTTGGGGCGGATTCCGCAGCATGGCGGCGTTGAAGAGGTGGATGGCGAGGTCCTGGTCGCGCACCTGCTCCATGTTCTGGTGCAGCAGGCGCTCTTCCTCGGTCATGTGCCGCCATGTCGAGAGGGGGCCGCGCCAGCGGTTGGGGCGCGTCTCGTAGAGTTCGTCAGAGGCGGTGGACCGGATCTCGTCCGTGTCGAGGTCCCAGTCGTCATCAGTTGCGACGGCCATGGTGGTTGGTTGCCGTGGGTGTGAGGTTGGTGGTTGCAGCTCGGTGAGGGAGGGACGAAGGTGAAGGTTGAGTCTGAAGTGGGGCACATGGTTTTCGGTGTGCTGAGGTGAGGCGAGGCAAGAACAAGGTGAGCAGGCCAGACCTTGGACGAGGTCATTACGCTTCACGGCACGCTTCATGGCACATCAACACTGAACTCAGGCATCAAAGTGAAAAGAATAACGCCTGGTATTAAACGCCCAACGTCTACCTGAGGAAAAGAAAAAAAGACTAAGCCCGCTTGCCTGCCTCCTTCTCGTGCTTTCTCCTCTTGGCCCGCAGCTTCTCCGCCTCGGCGCTCTTCTTGTTGTTGGTGTACATCATCTGCTCGTACAGCTTGCGCTTCTTCTTGGGCAGCATGCCCTTGGCCCGCTCGTGCTCCTCCTCCTCCTCGGCCGCCCTCTTGGCCAGCGCCTTGCGCGCCGCGTCCTTCTTCGCCTTGGCCGCCGACGTCGTCTTGGCCTTGACGCCGGCGCCCGTCAGCTCGGCCTCGAGCTCCAGCTGCCGCTGCGCCGCGTCGTCGTCGTCCTCCTCGTCGTGCTCGGCCTCGTCGTCGTCGTCAAAGCCGCCAAACGAGTCGTCGCCCACGGCGGCGTCCGCGTCGTCCTCCGACCCGGCAACGTCCATGTCGGGCGCCTCGAGGGCCATGGCGTCGAGCTGCTCGTCGTCCATCTCCTCGTCGCTGTCGGCGAGGACCTCGCCCTCGGTCTCCTGCTCCTCGAGCGGCACCGTCGGGTCGTACTGGCCCTGCACGGCGCGCACAAAGGGGCTCAGATGGGGCGGCAGCTGCGCGCCGGGCGCGTACAGATCCGGCCGCTTGAGCTCGGCGTCGTTGGCGCTGTCCCACACCCACTGCGGCTGGACGTACACCCTGCCGGGGATGCGCTGGTTGGCGCCCAGCTTCTGCGCCGTCTGGTTGTCCTCGGCCTGCGCCTCGACGGGTTCGCCGGCGATGATGGGGCGGTCCACAATCTGGTGCGTGATCGAGGGGTCGTGCTCGTCCGTGGTGTAGGCGCCCTCGCCGAGGACCGAGTCCCAGCCGATGCGCTTGCAGCCGAACGCGCGCAGGATGAACTCGAGGGGGCCGCGCGGCGTCTCCCTCGACAGGTAAAAGGTGCAGTGCGCGAAGAGCTTGCCGACGTCCGAGCTCGAGTAGCTGGGCTGCGGGAGAATGTCACCACCGGGGGCGGCGGGCTCAAACTTGTCGATGGCGTTGGTGTCAGCGGCTTCCGAGTTGTCGCTCGAGGCCTCGTCTGTGACATCGGCGGCGCCCTTGAGCTTCTTGACGACCTTGTTGACGGCCGCCTGGGTCTCGGGGTCGGGGTGGTGCTCTGTCGCCTCGCCTTCCGTGATCTGCTGCTGCTGCTGCTGCTGCTGCTGGGCTTGGTCCTCGTCGTCGTTGGCGAGGCCCTGGCCCTCGAGAATGAAGGCGCCGAGCTCACCCGACTGCTCGTCCTTGCTGAGGTCAAACTTGGGGGGGTACTTGAGGCCGACCGAGGTGTAGAGCCTGAAGTTGATGAAACCGAGCAGGGTCATGTAGAACTCGACAAAGGTGCCCATGATGCGGAAATCAATATCGCCGACAACGCGCTGGTTGAACTTGTAGGGAACGAGCCACAGGACGTCCTCGCCCTGGATGTTGGCCTGGTAGTAGATGCCCTTGATGGAGAGGAAGGACTTGGTAAGGCTTTTGGAGACGATGAGGTAGTGCTGGAACTCGAGGCACAGACGCTCGCACCTGGCGATCATCTTGGCGGGGACGGTCGAGGTAGAGGGCAGGTTGGCGAAGAGGAACAGCATGGACAGGCAGTCGTCGAGGTCGCGCAGGGAGTCGATGAAGGTCGGGTAGCGCTCACGGATGACATGGTCGAGGGTGTAGCCGGGCTTGCCCGTCTTGTCGGTGCGCACAGCGTTTCCCTCGAGCCTCTTCGCATCGCCCACATCGCCACGACCGAGGGCCTTGGAAATCTTCTTCTCGAGGGCCTTCTGGTCGCGGAACTTCTGAATCAGAGGCTCGTGCAGCAGATACTGGATGTCCTTGGCGTAGTAAAAGGTGGTCGAGGGGGTCGAGGACTTGGAGACCTTCTTGCGGTTGCGAGGCTCGCGCGGGTAGATGCCCTTCCAGATGCAGAGCTTTCGGAAATCGGGCAGACTGAGCTGGAGCTTCTTGACAGCCTGGGTACGGGTCACGTAGTTCTTGGCCGCGCCGGCCTGGCCCTTCTTCTTGATTCTGCCCATGATCGATGGTCGTTCGGAGGCTGGATTGATTCGTGTGGGTAAGAAGAGGGGGGGGGGATGCCTGGTGAAGCTGAAGCTCTCCAGTTGTCCTGGCCTTTTTTTCCCGGCCTCCTCGAGGCGGGGCGCTTCTTTTTCTTCGACCGCCCAACTTTTTTTCCAATCGAGATTTTTCTGCCGCCCGTTTGGTGCCTGCGCCTGCAATTGCCTCCAGACCGCCTGGGACATCGCCCAGAAAGGCTTAGAGTGTCTTTTGGGGGCGAATGATTGGTCTGATAAGAATATTCATCACCAATGTGGGTCTCACATATTGTGCATGCACCTGGCGTTGGCTTGACATCTTCACGATCTCCATCTTCACCTGGAGTATCCCGATCTCGAAAGCTCGTGGAGGACAAGGCAGATATTTCTCGATCATACCGTGAACAATCATGAGATCTGACTCTAAGAATCGCTCCGATAGATCACAACCCGGGTCATGGGTCTAGAAGCTCGATGCCATCTCCTCCTTGACCTCAGTCAGCATGCCTCTCTCGGCCCTCCTCTGCGTACACCAAGCTCCAAGCTCCCCCCAAATCACCTCTTTCTCCCTCGGCCCCAGAGTCGCCGCAAGTCCGCTCGTGCTCGTCGCGACGAACACTCTGGCGCCCTCCCATGGCCCCCCTTCTTCGCCGTCCCTCACCACCCCCATGTTCTCGCCCTCCTGCCAGCCGTACTCGAACTCCCCCTTCTTCATGCCCCTGCCCTTCCTGACCCGGAAGACCGCTTCCCAGATGCCCTTGCCCACGATGCAGGCCACCTCTGGCCTCCACTTGGCAATCTTGGCCTCCAACACGGCAACGCCAGCGTCAAGTTCCGCGTTCCGTAGCTCAGCTCCGTTGCGGCTCGGGCGGGACACAATGTTAGTGAATCCGCACGCATACCGCTCTGGCAACGTCCGGTCTTCCGAGGCCGGCAGCAGGCGCGACGTGATGCCCGAGTGATGCAGAAGCTTCCAGAAGAGGTTCGAGGGGTGCGCGTAGGCATGGCCTGTCGAAGCTGTCTGGATGCCCGGGTTGAGGCCGATGAAGAGGATCAAGAGGTTGGGTGTAATGGCGTCAGGCAACGGGGGCAGGTGGGCATAGGTGGAGGGAGGCGCATAACGAGGCGTGGACCGCTTCCTTTTTGCGCCCTCAGAAGGCGACGTCTTACGTTTCGTCGGCCGTGACGGAGATGGTGATGGTGATGCCTGTAGCTTGGGCGCAGGCCTCAAGTTGCCTGTCTGCCCGAGAGTGGCGGCAACACGAACGCTGCGGCGGAGTGGTGAGACTGTGGATGACGGGACGTGGATGAAATTTTGCAGGCGCCCATTAAAGCTGGCGGGTTTGGCTTCAAGCATGTCTGTCGTGACCTCCTCGCTCTTGATTCCTTCGTTTTCGGTGCCCATGGCGGGGACGATCTGATGTCGAATACTGACGAGGCACCCCGCGGTTGTTGCCTGGCGGTGTATAGCGATAAATTCAAAGTTGAAAATTCTGTCCACGGGCAACCGTTCGGGTAGCTCTTGACCAACATCTCGTGGTCCAGCCTTGTAAGTGCCATTCGCGAGGCAGGCAAGTGGCGATAGCTCCCGCCTGTCACCTCTCTTGATGACTAAACAAACCTTGGACCCTGGATCGCTTCCGTCTTGGCCCCCAATCACGCACCGACCCCAGGCAGGCAAGGCAGGCAAGGCAGGTGGACCTTCGAAGAAGGCAAACCTCATTCTACTGCTAGTCAATGACATGGCAATTCGAGCTGTCGTTCATCATCTTTCCGCTGCCATCACAAAATTATTGATGATCACGGCGTTTTGATCATGCCGCACAAGCACCAACAACCGGCGGGCATGCCAGCGCTGCTCCGTGGTAAAGCATGCCGCTTTTCTTCAGCTGCGCCTCTCTCATCCCCCCTTAACATTTGGATGCCTGAGCCGTGCAACCGACCGACTGGGCGATGGCCGCAGCATGACTTGCTGGCAAGCTGCTCAGAGTCGCAGAATGATCAAGGTGCGCGTGCGGCACCGAAGAGCAATGTCTGCTCCGCCACCGCTACAACACCACTGTGACGACCTTGGCCATCAGACAGCACGAGCCGAACAGCTCATCCCGGCCCACAACACGCCCGATGCAGTCTGTTGGTCCCTGGACTTGGGGTTCGAGATAACCTACTGCTGGGGTCGACGTACTCTATGGAGTCACGGACTTCAGAAGCCAAGAGTTTATGAGCGTGCTCCGCCACAATCCCAAGTTCGCGGGCAGGCTACTTGACCAATGATACCCCTGCTGGCTCACCAACCCCCGCCCCTCAGTTCTGAAAGATCGAGACAAACAGACAGCTCGAGACGCGAGGCCTCACAGCCAAGAGCCACGGCGGTGGCCGTATATCTAGTGACGCGTGAGTCCCCCTAGTATGCTGGGGAACAGAACCACCTTGCCACTGCATCGACACTCGACGGTACCAGAAGCATTCCCCATAAAACATTGCACAAGCCCATCGGATCCATCGAATGGACAACTCCAGCAACTCCCGACAAGGTCAGCCAGGCGGCCCTGACGCGGCTCTGCCCACCTATCACGAGCTCTCCAACCTTGAAGCTCAACCGCCGCAGCAGGCGGCTCCTTTCGCACCCACGTCTCAACCCGCAGGCGGGAGCCCGAATCCGGACACCATTGAGGCTCCTGGCCCTGCACACCTCCCCGATTAC